TTTTTTTAAATAGTTACAGGCCGGAACTCTTTCTAAAACCTATCAGGAACTATAGAACTCTTCGAGAACTATATAGAAATTCATCAGTGAAATTCATTTTTCTGAAATTTTTGGTGCCACGGGAAATTGACACCTCATATTTTCAAAGTGCCGTTTTTTAACTAATTTAGTGGAACTATTGTTATAACGTATCAGGAACTGTAGAACTATTGCGGGTGCAAATGGATTCGAAAACACAGTGTGACAGCAAAGAACATTTCACTAAGTTCATAGAACTTGTTAAGTATTACCAACAGTTTCCAGTTGTTTGATCTAACTGTCAAACATATTGACACTATCTTTTGTTTAAAAATTTGAAATAAAATATTTTTCGGTGCAAGCAACACTTACTTTCTTTCTCTTAGGGAAAACAGATGACACCAAAGGTATTCGAATGGCATGCAAAATTCCCTTTCGACTTTCCTTCTCCTTGGAATCCTTAGCGGGCGTAGTAGGCTTTTCTGCGGACGGAGCGTTTTGTTCAGTCTCCTTTGTCACCACAGGAGCTGATTCATCGGTGGATTCCGCCGATTTCGTCTCATCATCCTAAAATCGAGCAAGCAAACTATATTTAATTAAATGCCGAAAATAAAAGAAATCTTTTTTGAAATCTTTCTTTCTTCTTTACGATAAGATTAGCCTCCTTTTTCCAATTAACTTTTCTTCGCAAAGTATTCTTTAAAGAAAAAGAGCAGCATGGAAGGTGTAATTAGAAGGAATAAATCATTGTTTCGACAATTTTATTCTAGTCTGAAGAATAGTGAGATAAGCTTTCTCTTTCTCTGTATACCCTGCACTTAAAGTGAAACAAATACAATAAACTTATCCTTTAAAAAAATAAAAGAATGAAGTATAGAGAATATAATTTGCTACAAAGAACATATTTAGTGCCATTATCTGACATTTTCTTTGATAATACAGAGCGCAGAGTTTTGTTAGGGTTGAAAGCCAAGGTAGATTGTTTGATTTCGAAATAGCGAAAAGTGAAATCAAGGTGAATCTCGGGGGACAAAGAGCGACCGGATGACGATGCGCGATGATCGTCGTCGCCAGAAGTTTGTCCGGACTCCTTTTTGGAGATCAGACGCCCTCCTCCTTTCTCTCGTAGACGCGACAGATTATTATTTTTAGAGTAGCGTCACTTCTCCGGAGCCTTGGACTTGAACGCTTTCAAGGCGATAACTTGCGGCATACTGACTCTTACACGCTACATTTCGGAGCCAGCTGCCTCGAGACATCACGCTTCGAACATCTCAGACGAATTAGGTCTGGTTGATTGTGAGTAAACAGATAGAAGTCCATGTTCACGTGTAACTGATGAGTTCTAAAAGGAGAGCGCATCAATGGTGAAAAAAATAAACACTCTATAGCGCTTGAAAATCGATATTTAAAAATGGAGAATATAATATAAGAAACATGTAATTTTATAAATATATAATTTTAGAAACTCGTTTCTTTTCTTTTCGAAGAAAAATATATCAAGGACGGAAAATAATAGACATAAATGTGTAATTATACATAAATATTTTACACACATCACATCTTTCAAATATATATATTCAAAATCAAATCACATTAAATACATCGTTTTTAGTATAAGGTGAATTACTAGTATATCTCTAGATAATATCTGTAGAAAATATCGTGAACTCTAGAATATATCGTATTGCTTATTACGCTGGTTATTTAAAGTGATTTGAAGATACTTGAAATTATTTTGCTAACAATTACAACGAGTTCCACGAACGGAAGTACAAGTTAATAGCTTTATGCTTGCCAGAACTGTTGATACCTAAAGTCATACCAACTATAGATTAAACAGACGTTGCTCTTGAATCATCTTAATATCAACATTTGATGCAAGGCGTAATCTGTAGCCACAATTAAGTTTAATGCAAGGAGATAACCACTCAGAAAATATACGTGCATCTGGACTTCTGACTTATGAGACTTCATCGGACTTCGTCGAACTTCACTAGACTTTTGTAGATATGGTTATCACTTACTGATGACCTTTTTTTTAGAAATTCGACTACATTTTTAATCGGACTACGTCGGACTTTACCGGAATTCATCGGAATTCTTCAAAGAATTCAACGGAATTCTGACAAATTGTACACCGGAATTCAAGAGTGGTTATCCCCTTGGTTTAATTATGCTTCTTTCTTATGATAAGTCAACCTTACTATATTATTACGTTTGAAGAATCGCGTTCCAATAATAATTGCTATCCAATATACTAATTTAGTAAGGATATATGGCGTTGGACAATATCTCTAAAACTTCTTAATTTTTAGATGCGAATAAAAAAATATACCTATTCAAAATTAAAAATATTTTTATCCATCAAACATTGTTTTCATAATCCAAAATTGTTCTATTATAACTCTGAAAAATTTACTAAATTAATAAAATTATAAAAAGAGCTATTTTAACTATAACTAAAATGCTTTAAAAAATATATATAATATTACGCTATATCCTATTTAAAAAAGTGCATGTAAAGTTGATAACTCGCATTTCTCGAAATTATTTGTTGTCGCTTTTCCGCGATGCTGATTGGTTGTCTCGCTGCGCTTACTTCGTATAAGCGGTTATGTCATTGCATTTTGAAAGTTATGTATTGAGGTTGATGTAATTGTAAATTATAATAAGAAGTGTTAAAGCGCGCGCGTCGCGCGTTTGTAGTGCTATAGTAATGTAAATAATATAAAACTATTATAAATATATGTTTATGTTTGTCCAAATTTTTATAAACAACTTTTAAAAAAGTGTCATATTCGAATAAATAAACGGATAAACAAAACGCTTTTTCATTAGTCGCGGAACTTATGACGTCATCACGACAATAGCTCCGAGTCGATATAAGCTCTGTAAGAGAAACAGTGCCGACGTTAAATAATATTGTTTTTATTAATAATTGAGATATTAAGTAAAAAATGGTTAATTCGGATTTTATGAAAGGTAATTCGAATAATTTGTCAAAAGTGAACATGTTTATATTGTAAATATGTGAAAAACAATATAATAACTTTAACGCTGCTGAGTTTCGCAATGCAAAAGTTGACATTCAAGTTATATATTACAACGTACAAAAATTAAAATTTGATAACATTAATTTATATATTATATACTTATACATAACCTTTATTTATTGTTATTTTAATTTTTCTCGGCAAAACTATCGAGATTTCGTGATAGGTTATGTTTGTCTAAAAAGAGAAAATACAATTTAAATCTAACGTATAGTTTTTCAAATCTTCTTCTACCCATAAAATATACGTAAATAAACATTTCAAATTTATTAATTTAGAGGTTATTAAATACTATATATACAAATATTTAATAAAATAAAATCTTCCGTTTATTTTACATTTAAATGATCCTAACAGTATAATATATTTGTCGGCTGATATACACGTCGTGCAAGTTGAAACCATTATTGTTTCTGTCTTTTTTCGTCTTGAGGAACATGCACGAAAATTTTATCGGGTGCATTTTTTAAATTATTTACACACAGCGGTACAAAACAAGTACGATATTCTTTGAGCTGTTTTAAGCGAACAATTTCTTTTTCGTTCATATTGTATGTATACAGATTCACAATTCTTGATTAAATATATAACCCTGTATATTTTACCACATACAATCGATAATTCCATCTTGCGTCGTGACGTCACGATACCGTCGATTAACTTCGGGTGTTTCCGGAACATTATCGGATATTTCAAATATTCATTTTTTGACCATTATTAATATTAAATTCAAATCTTTTTGAGTGGCAAAAATAACTTATAATAAAATTTATATATAAACTATCAAATTATAACGTTTTTATAAAATCGTTTTTTTCCAATTCCATCAGCCGATTATCCGAAACATCAATCTCGTACTCTCGCTTGTGGGGATGCGCTTGGTACTTATATGTACAGTACGTGTTTGCTATATTTGGACCTCGAATGTGTTCAAGTGGAGTCGCGTGGTACGGTTGTCCGCCACATGTGTATCTGAGTACACGCATGCACGCACGCATTTGTATGATACTGATAGGTCCTCCAGCTTTCGCTTTCAAAACTAACGTTATTAATAAATTTAATATCTACGTGATAATTCCATTAGACTATCATGTATGTATAAGACGATGACAGATTCATTTGTCCCGCCCCTGCAGTCATATTTTTAATATATCTATTTAATTTTCTGCATTATACAGAATTGCAGTTATTTTAATTGATTTAAGACTTGAATAATTTTTAAGTCAAATATTTCTAATTGTAAAGAACTATTGTAACTAATTCTAAGACTAGTTCTTTATACAAAAATATTCATTTTATGGATGGGACACTAATCAACAAGGTTTTTTTAACAAGAATAAAAATATTATATTAATTCTCAATTTATTGTAATAAAATATTAATTTTTTGTTAGTTTTTAAGAATTAACTATTTGTTAGTTACAGTTATGAATATAACGATAAAAAATTATACAATGCATGAATCAGATTTTTTTTTAGAAATTGACAGAAATTGATATTTTAGTTTGTAAATGACAAATATTAAACCCAGTTCCTTCTTTTAATGTTTACACAAATAGACGATATTTGATTTCTTATCGAGGAGCAACGATGCAGGAAGAGAGATCCAGGAATAATGATATTATTGTTGTTTCTAAAAAGAGAGGATTACACTGCTCCGAAGAAAAAATAACTTCTGTGCTTTTCCTATGGAAAGAGAGAGAGAGGGGAGAATGGCCATGAAAGAGTCAATTTTTTTTAAGAGAAAAAGTATATTTAATCTGATATTAATAAAATAAAATTGCTTTACAACATAACAGATATTTGTCTACAAGATTCAATTGATAAAAAAAGTATACTTAATCTTTAAGGCGATCCTAAATTGGAATCAAACTCTAAAAATGTCGCTATTTTACAGACGATTTGTAAGTATGTATGAGTGCGATATTGATGTAATAGTCTGTAGTGATGTATTCATGTTTATTATTATATTGATATCGCACGCACATCGTAACAAATTTTCAACATGCTTTAACAAGAACATACCTATATCTTTTTTATTAGGCATCCTAATTTTATGAACTCTACATTGTTTGCATGTAATTCATAGTTCTGGCTGGTATCATTTTGTACCAACAAATTGCTAAATTTTTGTACGAAGCAAATATTGGCACATATTGACAGCTCCAGACGCCGTATTGGACTAACAAGGGAACCTCGCATATTTTTTTAGGATAGAAATTTTTTAGAATTGTTTAAAAAATTTTTTTTAAATTTTTGAAGATAATCATTAAAAAAAAATTCTATTAACGTAAAGGAATAGAGGTAATATTACTGTAAAACTTTTGTATAAAACATTTTTTGACATCTTGAATAGTTTTCGAGATATAACGAAAGAAAAAAAATTAATTTACATATAAACGGTGATTTCATCCCTTTAAACCGTTTTTTTTAGCACCAACTGATAATTTCTAAATTCATCTATTTATGTGACCTCAATTAAAGTGTACCAAGTTTCATTAAAATCAGAATATGACACTTTGCAAGAGTCCCTTGTAAGAAAAGATAACGGAGATCTAAACTTCTGAAATTTTTTTCGTTCTCAGCGTAACCTCTACAGTCGGAACTACATTGATGCCTATACTTTAATCGTGGAGAAGGATTTTTAAATCTGTTGCCTTTAATTATGTTTATTTTGTCATGGAAAATAATCACATTCGGTCAATAAAACAGACGACTTTAGAATCGTCTTAATAGGTTCCACTATAATCTTTTTTTGAACCTTGGGAATTCAAAACAAGGATTTCAAAACAAGGTAGCTTTGAAAAAGCTATTATAGCTTGTTTTGAAAAAGCCGAATACTAAGGTTAAAGCAAATAACATAAATAAAATAAAATGATTTCTTTTAAAAATTTCTTTCAAAAATTATCTTTTTAAAGAATAATAAGAATAATATTTAGAATTTAAAGAATAA